AACCTAATTGACTCTTCCTTCCAAGGAAGAAGATGAGTTTGATGAGGAACTCTCAGTCACTAAAGCAATCTAGGGTAATGGTTGGTCAAGTGATGACTATGACAATGATTGTGAACTAACTGTTTGAAAGCACTCCAAGCCCTAAACCTTCAAAATGTTGTAACTTCATTTTCTTGTATATATATATCGATTTGTTGTAATATATTTCTCTTCAAAGTAAAAAGAAATGATATTTTGCATTATTAAGAATGTCTTTTGATGATCCATCCATCTTACTTGGATAAATTGCTATTTGATTCACTTGTTACTCATGCCAACTTGATCAACTCTTACCTAATGATATTGGTATATCTATGTGTTTTGATGCTTTCATTGCCTATCAATGTGTTGCTTAGTTGCTTTTCCCCTCTTCTCATTCCTTTTAAATGATATCAAAAGGGGAAAAATAAGTGATTGTTTGAAAAATGGTAATGTGATGAAAGGGGAAGAGAAAAATGTTGGAAAGAAGAAAAGTGTTGGAAAATGCTCATATGTTTAAGTAAGCAACACCTGCTTCTTTTAACACATAAAGGGGGAGAGAAAAGACAAAAACTCTTCTAAATCTAAAAGTGCATCTATTACTTAAAATAGGGGAGATCCAAAATGTATTAGGAATACATCTATACTTTCATGAAACAATAAGAGATTTGAAATAAATGGTATTATAATATCTATACACTAACGGTGTTGCTTGAATGATCAAATATTAATGATTTCCCTAATTATTGCATTTATCCATGTCATGAGAAATAGCATATTGACGAGGGGAGCTAATCTGCACTCCCCATATGCTTATGTTAATGATTTATCATCATCATAAACAAGGAGATTGTTTACCCTATGTATTTTGATGATAAAAACTCATTAAGAGTGTTAATGATATGAAATATAAGTGTATAGATATACCAACTATTCTCTTAGATAGATTAAAGCATATCCAAGGAATGGAAAACTACTCTTATGAACAAGAATGAGATATTAAGTTCTAGTGTTTTCAATATCGTTTCATTTTATTTAGACATGATGTAATCAACTTGCAAGAAGCACAACTATGGGTTTAATTCTTACATTGGTTCTACCAAAACCTTAGAGACTAATGGTTAAGTTAAAAAAAAAAAGGTCAATAGGTTTTTCCCAAACTCTATTTTGGACAAAAATATGTCAATTCTAAGATTGGTAGCCTAAGAAGTTGACTCCCAAATCCTAGGAGTCAACTACTTAAGTGATTTAAGGTTGGGCCATACTTAGTAGTTGATTGTCTAAAAGCTAATAATCAACTAGTTATGACAATTAATTTCGGTGTCACTTAAGGTGGCATTTGATAAATTTGAAATCTGAAATATGTAAAAGTTAACAAGATATTATTTGTGTTTAAAATCTGAAAAACAGCATAGATGCTTTTACTTTTTAGAGGCTCCAAATAGATAAGGTTGTTTGTGTTGGATGTATCCTTTAACATCTAAAATTCCCTGATTTTACTATTTTACCCCTAAAACATACTATTTGGTAATTTCGATTTCAGCGGTCTCATAGAGGATAGCCCCACGGGGAGTTTCACCATTGTCTCAGACCTCAATCACCACCAACAATTGAATGGATTCACACAAAAAATTTAGCAGAGAAATCATATAACATTGACAATAATAAAATCGAGTTCACAGTAGTGCTATCACCTAGTTCTCATTAATGACATTATACGGCTGCACCAAAACTCAAAATATGGAGATAAGTTTTGAAGATTACAAGATTTGTAGTGTGGCCAAGGAATGGGATCCGTTGCAATGGGAGATGGTTGATGTAGATAAAGCCATTGTTGTTTCTATGCTGCAATGAGGGAGATAATTGATGAAGATGAAATCATTATTTCTTCCGCACTTGTCTAACTAGGATTTGAGACTTCGCCGGAAATGCTATTGTGACGTAGGTTTAAAGATGGTGTCAATCATTGATGACAATAGGAACGAAACACTAAATCAATGTATTGGTTGATCAAATGAGGTTTTGGACTCTCCTCATGAAGGGCTTAGACTCCATTGAGTTTCTCGAGGGTGATTGAAACCTATCATAGCACCTGACCAGCTGGTAGAAGTCCAAGATGAAACCAAAGAGTTGTAGTGATGGAAGAGCGGCGGTGATGAACAAGGGAGCAGTGAGGACAAAGGGGTGATGAGAACAAGGGAGTTGGACAAAGGGAAGAAAAGAGAGAGAATGGGAGAGATGGATAACAAAGGGAAGAAGAATAAGGAATGGGAAAGAGAGAGGCTAGGCACGGGTGACACTGCCACTACTAGGAGTTGTAGCAGCAATGATGTGAAGCAAAGGATGTAGAGAACATCGAGGAGGGAGAAGAAGAAGATGATGATGAAGAAAGAATAGAGAGGGAGAGAGAGAAGGCCAAAGGAAGAAGCTTGTCACCACTGTGTCAAGTGGAGAAGAGGAACAATGCCAAAAAATATCAAAATGGATATCAACGTTGATGCATTTCCTTTCTCTTTCCAGTTGAAGAGTTATGTTGGCCTAATCTTCGAGTTAAAAGAGGGGCATAATGAGTTATTTTAAAAATATATAAGGTTATTTTGGACTTTCAGCTTGGTTTGTAACACGTCTGACCGCATTTAGGGGTCGTTTGGTTGCACTTTCAGAGGTCTGAATCTGAAAATGATGCTTTTCAGATCCTCACACTTGTTTGGTTTTACCTCTTAAACTTGACATGAATATTATTTTCAGATCTGAAAATAATAGACCTTGGACCAGCTCTTAATGCGCTTAGAGCCGGTGCAAGGTCGAAGCTGCCCTTACACTATTTTGGAAATGATGCGCGCTACCCCTGTCTTCTTACGCAGTCTGACTGTTTCTCTCTCTCTCTCTCTCTCTTGCTCGCTCTCTCCCCCTGTCTTCCTGCCACCGCTGCTGCAACTTGCAACGACGGCTCTCTCTATCTCCTTGTATTCCCGCTTCCCGCCACCGCCGCTACAAGTTGCAACGACGGTCCTCTCTCTCTCGCTCGCTCTCTGTCTCTCTCTCCCTTGGTTTTACCTCTTAAACTTGACCTGAATCTTATTTTCAGATCTGAAAATAATAGACCTTGGACCAGCTCTTAATGCGCTTAGAGCCGGTGCAAGGTCGAAGCTGCCCTTACAATATTTTGGAAATGATGCGCGCTACCCCTGTCTTCTTACGCAGTCAAACTCTCTCTCTCTCTCTCTCTCTCTTGCTCGCTCTCTCCCCCTATCTTCCCGCCACCGCTGCTACAACTTGCAGCGATGACTCTCTCTATCTCCTTGTATTCCCGCTTCCCGCCACCGCCGCTACAAGTTGCAGCGACGGTTTTCTCTCTCTCTCTCTCCCTGTCTTCCCACTTCCCGCCACCGCCGCTGCAACTTGCAGCGACTCTCTCTCTCTCTCTCCCTATCTTCCCACCACCGCCATCGCCGCTGCAACATGCAACAACGTTGGTTCAGTGAATAATAATAATATTTTTATTAATTATTAATTATTAATTATTTTAATCTTTTTTATTAAACATTAATTATTTTTATTAAATTTATTTGTGTTATTTATTAATTATTGATTATTTTTATTAACTAGTAATTTTAATTATGTCATTAATTTTTAAAAATTATTTTAATTTTTATTTGTGTAAATTATTAATTATTTTAATTTTTTTATAGTCATTAATTTTTTAGTTTTAATTGTTTCATTTATTAATTATTAATTATTAATTTTTTATTTTTGATTTGTATTGTTTCAATATTATTTTGAGGTTGAAAATTATTTTTTTATGAGAATGCAAATTGAACTCAACATTTCCAAATAATATGTTTTAGGGGTAAAATAGTAAAATCAGTAAATTTTAGATGGTAAAGGGTTGATCCAACACAAACAAACTTATGGATTCAGATCATCTAAAAAGTAGAAAAGCATCTATGCCTCTTTTCAGATTTCAGACACTCCTTAATATTTTTTTAACTTTTCAGATTTATGAAACGCCACCTTGGTTGACAATTGCCTTCTGAATATAGTTGACTACTAAGTGATGCCAGTGTGATACCCGGCCCGACTGTTACAACTAGATGATTTGAATAGATGATCCGAAATGAATTTTCAGATCTGAATCGGTAAGACGTGGGCTAGGCACTAAATGCGATCAGACGTGTTTCAAACCAGGCTGAAAGTTCAAAATAACCTTATATATTTTTAAAATGACTCATTATGCCCCTCCTTTAACTCGAAGATTAGGCCAATATAACTCTTCAACTGGAACCAGAAAGAAAATCCATCGACGTTGATATCCTTTTTGAGTAATACTGGAACGAGAAAGGTAACAGCTGAGATTGAGCTTCACCTAGTAGTCAACTACAAGAGAAAAAAGATTTTCTCTTATGAGTAATACTCAGCTGCTTGGTCCTGATAATTGACTATACCTACCTCTAACGAGAAGAAATCCTTGCCCTACTTTTTTCTCTTGTATATTCAATTAGACTTAAATAGTTAAATATACCTTCTCACCCTACTTTTTGACAGTTTCAACAAAAAGAAATCCTTGCCCTTCTTTATAACGTGAAACAGGATTGTTTCTACCTTGAGACACCACCCTGCAAATTGGTGGTTCTTCATTGACAAGAGATTCTTGAACCTATATTATTACTATAATTATCATTATCATCATTTATAATTAACACGTGCAAAGCAAAAAGTGATAGAATCCCTTTGTGATTTATCACAGTGACGTATCTGCTGACTTGACGTCCACATATCGTTTTTTGTCTCTCTATCTCTCTCAACGTGTTAATCTGGCTTCATTGAAAAAGTCCTGGCCAGCTTAACTTGGTAGTTTGGTAGTTTGGTCGTCTATTATTTCTTAAAAGTTATTTTGTCGTTTGGTTGGTTTTTCCTGGACGAACGAGTTCAATTTCAAGTCGAGGACGAAGCTCTATCCTCGACTACACTCCTACCCAGAAATGGATAGAGCAGAGGAAAAGCTGATATTTGCTGTTAATGGAGAGAGATTCGAGCTCTCTAGAGTTGATCCTTCAACTACGTTGCTTGAGTTCTTACGTTGTCATACACGTTATAGAGGTGCTAAACTTGGTTGTGGAGAAGGTAAGTTGGTTTGCCGAATTTCTTCCTTGGTTTCTCCCCAAAGTTTTATTGTTTCTTGTTATTTGATGCTTCGGGTTGGTTTCTGAAGGTTTCATTAATACGGAATTTTGGGCTTCTATGTGGTTTCTTTTTTTTCTTTGACAGAATGGATATAACTGTTTGATTAGGTGTTGTAGAAGTAGGCTTTGTTTACCTGGCTTCTTTAGCATATTGAGAAGGTTCTTGATAGTGGGTCCTGTGCATTTTGAGCTTCTTTTCGTTTTGTGGAAATGGGTTTATGGATTTTGATTGTTTTTCCTGCTTTGGAAAATGAGTTTGTCTATTTATTTATTTGTTTTTAATGTAGTAGTTAGTTTTGGCTTCTGTGGCATCTGCTTGAAATCGGATGCTCTTTAACATTGGATACATAATTTTATTGTTGCTTCTCTTCATACTGTTGGACTGTGTCTGTGGTCTGTGGTATTTGGTGTTGAATTTCTTGTTTAAGGTTTGGATTCTTACTGAATTCATTACTACTACTCTGTTTTATTTTTGGAGATTATGATTTGACAACATCCTTTTTTTCAGTTGTTTGGAAGATAAGAGAATCTTCCATCATATAGGTCTTCTTAGACTGATTGGAGAATAAAACTTGCATCTAATATTCAGTTTGGATTTTTCGTTGCAGGAGGTTGTGGTGCTTGCGTGGTTCTTCTGTCAAAGTATGATCCTCTGCTTGAAAAAGTTGAGGACTTCACAGTGAACTCATGTCTGACACTTCTTTGCAGTTTACAAGGATGTTCTATTACAACAACAGAAGGTCTTGGAAACAGCAAAGATGGATTCCACCCAATCCACCAAAGGTTTGCTGGTTTCCATGCTTCTCAGTGTGGCTTTTGTACTCCAGGCATGTGCATGTCTCTCTTCTCAGCTCTAGTAAATTCTGAGAAGACCCCAGGGCCAGACCCACCTCCTGGTTTCTCCAAGCTTACAGTATCAGAAGCTGAAAAGTCAATTGTAGGAAACCTCTGCCGCTGCACTGGTTATCGGCCCATTGCTGATGTTTGCAAAAGCTTTGCAGCTGATGTTGATTTGGAGGACCTGGGCCTCAATAATTTTTGGAGAAAGGGTGAGAATAAAGAGAAGATCTTGAGTAGATTACCCTTCTACAGCCATAGTAATGAAATTTGTACCTTTCCTGAGTTTTTGAAAAGGGAAATCAAGTCCAAATCACTTTCTGATTTCAATGGCTATTATTGGTACAGTCCTGCCAGTATTGAGGAACTTCAGAGCCTATTGGAAACTGAAGAAGATGGAAACCGGGTAAAACTAGTTGTTGGGAACACAGGGGTAGGCTACTACAAGGAACAAGAGCAGTACAAAAGGTACATTGATCTAAGACATATCCCTGAGCTCTCTTTAATAAGAAGGGACAGAACGGGGATTGAAATTGGTGCAGCTGTAACAATCTCTAAAGCCATCCAAGCCTTGAAGGAAGAAAGTGAAGGTGGGTTTCACCCAAATGGAGAAATGATAAAAAAGATTGCTGATCATATGGAGAAGGTTGCATCAAAGCCCCTGAGGAATACAGCAAGTTTAGGTGGTAATTTGATCATGACACAAAGGAACCATTTTCCCTCTGATATTGCCACTGTACTTCTTGCTGTCGGTTCATCAATAATTATACAGACAGGCCCAGAAAGAACAGAACTTACACTAGAAGAATTCTTGGAAAGGCCACCATGTGATTTTAAAACTATAATTACAAGTGTTAGAATCCCAAGTTGGGAATCAGTAAGAAGATTTTCATCTGAAACCAAAACTAAGTTGCACTTTGAAAGCTATCGAGCTGCACCACGACCACTTGGATTTGCATTGCCATACCTCAATGCTGCTTTCTTAGCAGAGGTTTCTTCCTCCAAAACTTCTGTTGTTGTAGAAAGCATTCGGTTGGCTTTTGGTGCCTATGGGAATAAATATGCAATAAGGGCAAGGAAAGTTGAGAAACTTTTAGTTGGACAGTCACTTAGTTTGAATCTTCTATTTGAGGCTATTAAATTACTGAAAGCAACTGTGGTGCCTGAAGAGGGGACTTCATATCCTGCCTATAGAACAAGTCTGGCTGTTGGCTTCCTTTTTGATTTTCTTTATCCTATGCTTGAAGCTGGTTCCACAATTCTACGTGGTGGCTTGAATGGATATATGAATGCTTTGCCAACCAAGGTTTCTAAACATGAAAGTAATAATGACCATGTTCAAACGCCTGCTCTGGAAATCAGCTTCTGGAGTTTAATAGGGAATATAGTCCAGTAGGGGAACCGACTCAGAAATCTGGAGCTGAGATCCAAGCTTCCGGTCTGTTGCACTCAAATAATTATTTTCTTTTATGTTGTGGCTCCATTTATTTCATCCATAACTCTATTACTTCTTTCTTTTCCTTTTGGTAGTATCACCTGACTGGTTCCATCTTTATATTTTTATAATTATATCATTATTTTCTTAACCAACACAGTCATTATTATAAATGAACTTACAGGAGGTCTTGTAGTTTAAGTTGTTTGCTACTAAAACTGACCCATCCCCACCGATGGGCTCCAATCTGCCCCACCCCAGTTGGGGTGGGTTTTCTAACCACTGATCGGGTTTGGGGCGGTTTTCAGGGAAGCCCGAAGCCTTGGTGATCGGGTACGGGGCAGGGATGGTGTCCTGACTAAAAAGTGTGTGTCTTTATAATTCTAGGTAGGTTTCAAAAATGAAATAATAGATTTGTAGGAATGATGGGGGCAGGGCGGTGGCAAATTCAGGGGTCCCCATTCCCCAGGGATGAGGATGGGATTTCTAGACCAGTTGGGGTAGGGGGCAGGGTATTTGAGTTCGGGGTCAGCCCCCAGGGCAGGCATCCCCAGTAACAGTACAGATGTGTTAAATGCAAAACTAGAATGATTTAGAGATGCTTTAGAAATTAGAATTGACAGGTTTTATGCAGAATGACAAATCCAAGAATCGAAAAATATGATTAGAATGTAGAGAAAACATGAAGAAAACGAGAAAGAAAAAACAGAGCACTCAAGCACACAGAGATTTATGTGGTTTGGTTTATAGCTTTCATTCACATGCATCAAAGGAGAAGAAATCCACTATAAAACAATACCAGAGATTACATTTGCAGTTTACACAGCCTCTCATAAACCCTAGCTCCCAATACAACTGAAACACCTTTTTACACACTCAATGTGTCTCACACTTTCTCAAGCTCTCTTCTCTTTCTTTTCAAGATACACGACACAAGACAGTTTTCTATCCAGGATATAATGAGATATACAAGAGAACCAAACCCTAACAAGGTCCATAAATGGGTTGGGTCCAATATTGACACAGGTCTGCACCGTGGGGGCTCTAACCTTGAGCCCTCAGTGGTGGGCTACGGGCTAAGCCCTCCACTTCCCCCACAGACCACCATGAAATTTTCCCTTTGGTTTTTTCTCAACATTATGCGGAGTGGGTACTTGAAAGCAGGTTGTGACTGCAATTCAACACATGAATGCAACAGGTTTTAAGATGATATTGCAATTTTAGTAGAAACAATAATAAAAATGGTGGTGAATTAATAATCAGGAGATACCTCAAACTGATTACGTCCATTCTGTTACCTTAGAAGAATCATCCAGCATGAGAAAACTGGAAAAGGATCATGCGCAGAAATTAGAAAAGATGCTGAGGTGGACAGATGGCAAAACTAGAAATAACATATGCAATAGATGGCAAAACTAGAAATAACATGTGTAACAGACGGCAAAACTAGAAATTAAAAAAGATGCTATAAGACCAGTAATATTATATGTAACAGAGTGTAGGAAAATCAAGAAATAACATATCCCAAAATTGAGTATAGCTGAAATGAGGATGTTGAGGTGGACAGAAGGCAAAACTAGAAAGCATGGAAATAGAAATTACTGCATTTGGGGAGGAATTAAGAGTAGTCCCAATAGATAACAAAATGAGGGGGAAAGTCAACTAAGATGGTTTGATCATGTGCATATTCAACATTGTCTACACTAGTCAAAAGGAGAGATCTGCTGAAATAGAAAACTCCCAAAAAAATGTGCTGAAGTGGTAAGAAATTATACCATTTCACAATTTAACAGAAAAATCATGGAGCACAATAGTGAGGTTAGGATGTATATCCAACACCAAATAGCTTGGAATAAGGCTGAGTTCAGTCGAGTTGAGCTACATGCAATTTTAGTTGATAACAGCTAAATAATCCCCTGAAAAAGACTCTGTAAGTACTAAAATATTAAACAGTTTGTACCCTAAGTTCAGATTCTTCTTTCACAACATTCCAATAGATTTATGTTGGTGTTCTTCCTATGTATACTGCTTGCTAATTTTTGGAGATTTTATTATTGATAACAATGCAACTACCTGAATCATGATTTTTTTTCTCTTTCTTAGTTTTAGGATTTAGTGTAGTTGTTTTACTTATTAGATTAAATTTCAAGGTAATTAATATTGATTAGAACTGAATTTAATTGTCTTTCTCACAATTTTAATTACTTTTAAAGCCATAGGCCTCATTCCCCTTATTCATTGTGCCCTCCACTAAAAATGAAATGTTTTTTATTTAATGGAGGCTGAAGGTGCCCTTTTTGTTGATTATTAATGTCACACCTTTAGGTGAGGCCATATATGTGGATGATATTCCTTCTCCAAAGGACTGCCTTCATGGAGCATTCATATACAGTAACAGGCCTTTGGCACAAATAAAGGATATTCAATTCAAATCTCCACCCGAATTGTATGGAGTTGTTAGAGTTATTTCCATTGATGATATCCCAGAAGGAGGGGAGAACTTAGGATCTCAGACCATGTTTGGTACTGAACACCTTTTCGCTGATGATCTTACTCAGTATGCAGGAGAACCATTAGCTTTTGTGGTAATACATGTGGATTTCTATTCTGGTGCATTTTTCTATTTTTCATGAAGGGTTGACCAAAATTGGGCCTTTCCTTCATGGAGTTGTCTTCTGTACGTTGAATTCATTGAAATGGCTTCTGTAGGTTGCTGATACACAGAAACATGCTGACATGGCAGCCAATTCTGCAGTGGTTGATTATGACACAGAAGATCTAGGGACACCTATTTTATCAGTAGAAGAGGCAGTCAAGAGATCTAGCTTTTATGAAGTCCCTCCTTATCTTAGGCCGAAACAGATTGGCAATTTCTCAGAAGGAATGGCAGAAGCTGATCATAAGATTCTTTCTGCTGAGGTTTATCTGATTTAATTAACCATCTATTTATCTACTTGCTTGTCTTGTTTCCATTTTTGATAAAGGACTAGAATCTGGGAACTTGACTTGAACCCACCAAGGGGTCAAGCCCCTAGCCCCCTAGTAATGAAGATTCCTCTACCCTTAATACACAATACTAGGAATTGGAGGACTTATTCCCCTCACTAACAAATCTAGTAATATGTCTTCTGCCATGATGGAATCCTCAGAAACAAATATTGCAAACACATTTCTGAGAACAAACTATTTTTTAATATAATATTAATTTTTCAAAACCAACTTTAAAATCATTTACTAGTAGATTTAGATCCTTTAGAAAAGACATTACCAAGGCATTCACTTTGTTTGGTAGAGTGGAAGATCTCCCTATGATCATTTTTGTAGATCCCATTCTTATCTACTCCAACATACCCAGGTGTTAACCCCAAAAGGGTTTCATTAGTTGGCATATCAAAAGTAGACAAATCTGAAACCCAGCATAGTATCATTATCAAGTCTAAGGATCAAGTGCAACAATTCAAATCCTCCACCAATCATAATGTTTAAGGGCTATTTGAACATGGTTCCAGTTCAAGTGTTTCCACTAATTGCACCTTCTCATAAGCTAGCACTTACATTGCCAACCTTGTCAGGCTTGAACTGCCCAAGCTTAGCCATAGGTTGATAACAATTTATTCCACATACCAATCATGATGGTCTTAATCATTTTATTTTTATTTATGATTATCACAATCCTATATTTTGGATCAAGGACCATCACAAAAGCATACACCGAATGACATGTGATTGTATAAGAAACTATTCCATTATTCATGATGAAAGCAGTGTACATGTCATATTGGTTCTGAAGGTCATAATACACTGTCCAACACTCAGGTGTTTTGGTTGAGATCTCGTCTTGTTGAGCTAGTTGTTAGTTATGAGAAGCCTTCAAGGCTATATTGTGATAATCAAGTTTCTATCAATATAGCGCAAAACCCAATATAGAAAGATGTTACTGGTATATTGAGGTTGACATGCATTTTCTCGGAGAAAGGATTGTATCTGATGAAGTTTGCTTGCCATACATTGATTATGATATGCAGTAGGTGATATCTTCACTAAGGGCATCATCAATTCTAACTTCTAAGATGGAGACTGACACAAGTTGGGAAGAAGTAGCATCTATTTCCCACTTGAGGGGGTGATGAAATATTATTTCCTATTATTGGTTGCTATTTTATGTTGCTTTTGTTTGTTGTATTAATGACTTATACCTGCTATGTAGCTTCTGTCTTTACTTTTTGTTTTATGTGTTTCATATTGGTGACAGGGTAGAATGATCTTTGTATAGCATCATTAATTTTATATAAATAGGTGAACAGGGGGTAGCAGCATATTCTTTTGCTTACATCCCATTCTTCTTTTCTCTTCTACACTATCTTCTCTTCTAACTCTGTTTTTTTCTTGTTTTATTGACTTTGAAACATTGTTCTTTGCTAGTAACACTCGACAAGTGAGAGTTATATCCCTATTCCCTATATCCATAACTGCCCATCAAAGCTGTCTGCAAATTATTTGGTTGTTTATATTGCAACTATTAGTATCACTGAATTTCTTGTTTTGGTAGATAAAACTTGGGTCACAATACCATTTTTATATGGAGACACAAACTGCGCTTGCTGTACCAGAAGAAGGCAATTGCATGGTTGTCTACAGCTCGACTCAGTGCCCTGAGAACACACAGATTGTAATTGCAAGATGTCTTGGAGTTCCCTGTCATAATGTCCGTGTGATTACAAGAAGGGTTGGAGGAGGGTTTGGTGGAAAGGCCATGAAGGCTATTCCTGTAAGTTATCTGTTTGACTTTTCTCAATGAATACTTCTCCCTTCTTGAGAGTTTACCCAGTTATTAATTTCAGAGCTAAAATGAAGCTTCAAAAAGGAAATAAAAGAAAACATGAAAGTAAAACTGTTATCATATATGAGGATGAATATATGATTTCCATGAAATGACCCACCCATATCAATGAGCGAAGATACTGAAATGTTACTTTGGAATTAATCCAAGCACCTAGCTTCAGAATGATAGAATAATAGAGTTTTTTACATGTTTTGCATTTGATGCTTCTGTTTTTCCAGGCCTGTATGTTTGAGGACCTCTCAGATTTCCACTTAGATATTTTTTCTTTCTATATATTAATGAAATTCTTGTCATATATAAAAGCAAATAAGAAAATATTTCCTTGTTTAATCCTGCAAGGGAAGAAACCTGTGTCACAATGTGATCTATAAGAAAAAAAAAAAAAAAAAAACCATGTTGGATATCTAGGTCAGATACATTTGCCTCTTTGCTGTACTGTGTTAGGAGATTATCGTTATTCATTGTCCTTTTTTCCTACATGCGGGTCCCTTATATCTGCTGGACATATCAACTTTTAGCGTAAACCTGTAAGGCAACTGGAATGGGAGTTGGTAATTACCTATTTACCTACACATGGTTTTTTTTTCAATTCTACCTATAGTTTGTAGGGGTGTCAAAAGAGTCTTATGGGGTTGGTTGTTGTTCTATGGATTTGAGAGGATGGAGTTGAGGTATATTTTGTTTATTTTTGTAATTTTCTTCTTTTATGGGTTGGTTATCTCCCATTGCCTCATCTAATTGTAATCCTTCTATTATTAATGGATTTGTTATTTATCTTTAAAAAAAGTCAGAAAATCCAGTGGCTCATAAAATGGCCAGAGTAGGGGTAGGTAGGGCTCAAATGTTTTGGGGTTACTTGTAATTTGGATCAGTTTAATCCATAAAGAGAAATGAGATAAGTAGCAAATGCTAGTCTATGTCCTGAAGTTCTCTGTTCATATTCATTTTTCTCTTATCCTCAATAAAATTTTAGTAGTTACCGATAAAAGAAAATGTTCCAAATCATATTCCATATGGAATTTGCAATTGCTCTGGTTTTATAAAGTTAAAACACTTGAGACAGACAACTGTGTCTGCATCCAACTCACATAGATTCTTTTTCAGTAATCTTTCTTGACAGACCAAAATATTAATATTTGAAAAAATTCTGAATTGTTACATTGATAATGGAAATGTTAAGAGGTCCTTTTGGCAATAACTATAAGAATTGTTCCCTATCTTATCACTTCTGCATATCCAGGAAAAATCTGTAGATGACCAAAAGGTCTGAAGAATAGGTGTCTATCAGAAATGTGGATCAGAAATTGGGACTACCACAGCACATCGGCATTTACACTCCATTTATTGGAATTCTGCTACCCCACTGCCCTTCTGGTTTCCCTATCTCATGCCAACATTGGAATATAAAAACATAAATGGAATAGCCCACATATCTTGATTCCCTCTGAAATATTGCATGATTTTAATACCTTTGATCCTTGCAGTTTTCTATGACTTCGTAGTGTTTATATGCCTACTTTCTGCATATTCTTTTGCTCCACACTACATATGTAGGAATTACAAGTTACTATGTGATGTTTCTAGGTTGCTACCGCATGTGCTCTTGCAGCACACAAGTTACAGCGTCCAGTCAGGATTTACCTCAATCGCAAGACAGATATGATAATGGCAGGAGGACGGCATCCTATGAAAATAAACTATAGCGTTGGCTTCAAATCCAGTGGGAAGATCACAGCTCTACACCTTGATATATTAATTAATGCTGGCATATCTGCAGATATCAGTCCTGTCCTACCACTGAATATATTGGGAGCCTTGAAGAAGTACAACTGGGGATCTTTGTCTTTTGATATAAAGATCTGCAAAACAAACCATTCAAGTAAGACGGCAATGCGGGCTCCAGGAGACGTGCAAGGATCATTTATTGCTGAAGCTATCATTGAGCGTGTAGCATCAACTCTATCTATGGAAGTCAATACTGTCAGGAGCAAGAATCTCCACACATTTGAGAGTCTCAAGCTTTTCTATGACAGTAGTGCTGGGGAAGCCCTTGTGTATACTTTGCCTTCAATTTTGGATAAGTTGTGTGCATCTTCAAAGTTCCACCAAAAGGATGCAGAAATAAGACAGTACAATAGTTGCAGTAAATGGAGGAAAAGGGGAATCTCAATGGTGCCCATTCTGTATGAAGTGTCATTAAGGCCTACTCCTGGGAAGGTAAGCATTCTCAATGATGGGTCTATAGTGGTTGAAGTTGGAGGGATTGAGCTGGGCCAGGGGCTCTGGACAAAGGTGAAGCAGATGACTGCATTTGCTCTTAGTCCAGTAAAATGTGATGCAAGTGGAGACCTCTTGGAGCGTGTACGGGTCATTCAGGCAGACACATTGAGCTTAGTACAAGGGGGGGCGACTGCTGGGAGCACCACATCAGAGGCAAGCTGTGAAGTAGTTCGAATCTGCTGCAATGAGTTAGTTGAAAGACTAACCCCTCTCAAGGAAAGGCTGCAGGAGAAGATGGGTCCAATCTCATGGAATATGTTGATTCTCCAGGTGATTATTTAAATTTAAATTATTTACGTTCTGGATTTTCTCAAGTCATGATGGAGAGGGAGAAGACATTCTTCTCAACTTGGACATCAGATGATCTTAACCATCTTTACTATAAATTTGATGTTCAAGTTTATATGATTACATTCTTACCAAGAAGTAACTGGTGGGGCCTACCAACAATCCCTGTGAAGGGAGGAAGAGAATTTCTTTTCAACAGAGACAACCTACCAACAAGCCCAGCTGCCCTGGTACCCTCCAAATGTACAGGGGTGATTGGATTTCATTGTTTTGCTTCTATTTTGTCTCAAGCAGTTGTTATTCTAATTTTCTGAGAGAGAACTATCTTTCTAATTGAATATGAGAAGAGGTATGATCCTCAAATACAGGTTTAGTTGTAAGCTAAGCCTGAAATACAGTTTCACAGCCTACGCATGTTTAAGTTACTATATGTTCTACCTGTGGTGCTAGCCATATTGTCTATGTTAGGCCCAGCGGAGGAGAAGATCCAAGCGGTGCAGGTCAGGCCCATCGGGCCCATGCGCTAGTCCAGTACAACCCAAGGATCACGCGAGTGACACCACCCATCACACTCGTATACAACCGACGTCCACGTTTTGAAAAGTAACCATGTACTGAGCGTGATCATGCACTGAGAAATGTCAGAATCGGTTATACTTGGCCATTTGCTATATAGGCCCATTTACGAATGCATGAAGGCAAGAATGAATCATTGAGATTTTCCCTCTCTCTCTCTCTCTCTCGTCTTCTACCTCTCGTCCATTTCAGGAGGGCGAGCTCCCTCGAACCAGCTCACCAGTGATTACACAGTAGCAGGGCTTATCAATTGGTATCAGAGCCTTGCCACGATGCCAACCACCAGGGCTTCGTCTGCCGAAGAGCGGATTAACCGAGTAGAAGGAGAAGTTCAACAGACTACCAATGAACTGAGAGAAATCAAAGAAACCCTCTCAGCACTGGTAGGCCAGTTCGAACGTATGTCATCAGCTCCCAGATCCACGGAGGTTGAAGGGTCCAGCAGTAGTGGCGTTAGGCGAGGAGGAGTGTTTCCAGTCAAGGCTGCCAAGATCGACTTCCCTCTGTATTCAGGTGATGATCCTATTCCTTGGATTTACAGGGCAGAACGCTACTTTGAATTCCATAAGACTCCGGCAGATCAGAGGGTCTCCATTGCCGCCATACGTATGGATGGTTAAGATATCATGTGGTACCAGTGGTACCGTAAGACCCACCCTCAGACCACCTGGTTGGACCTTACTGAAGCCTTACGTGTGAGATTTGGTCCCTCTGGTATGAAAATTTCAATGAGTCTCTCTCTCGGGTGAGATAGACGGGCAGTGAGGGAATATCAGAATGAATTCGAACGGTTGGCAATAGGGGTTCATGGTTGGCCGGAGGCTGCCCTGGTAGGATGCTTTATAGGGGGCTTGAGAGAAGACATTCGCATAGAGTTGAATACTGATGAGGGCGGATTTGGCTCTCATTGTAACACATGAGACCTCGGAACACCCGGAATCACTTAGGCAACAACTTGCCTTAGCCAAGTTGATGGTGTCCGACTTGGCGGCCCGGCCCAGGCGCGACTTGGCGGCTGACACAGACGTGCCCTGGCGGCCTGGCACAAGCGCGACTTGGCCCTGACGCGACCTGGCGGTCTAGCGCGCCTTGGTGGTCTGGCCCTGATGTGACTTGGCTGCCTAGCACAGGTGCCGACCTGGCAGCTTGGCCCAGGCGCGACCCGGCAGCATGGCACAGGCGTCGACCTGGAGGCCTGCGAGACGTACTCACCGACGAATTCGGCATGCATATCCTAACACTCCCACGATCCTTGGAAGTTGGGCCACGTGCCGAACGATCCGGAGGGTGGTCAACGTGCATGGCAATTACCTCTAGGAATCTCGGACCACTTAGACGACCTCGCGAAAATCTCCGATATGGTGCGTGAAGCCCACGCCAAACAATGCCTATATAAAGGCACCAACCCCAATGGCATAAAGGGGGCAAGTAAGCAAGTAAGCAAGTAAGAAAGTTCTAGCTCTCATACTTTATGATTTTTAGCTCGCAGTCTACTATGAGAGTACTGACTTAAGCATCGGAGCGACCTCGCCAAGTTAGCCACCCCGGGTCCTCTAACATTTGGTTCCTTGCAGGTCTCTAAAGAGCAACAAAGCTCATCAATCCAGCTTGCTGCTAGGCAGCTTGGCACCTGGTTAGCCCGGCACCTCACAGGCAACTCGACACCTGGTCAGCTCGGCACCTCACAGG